GGGGCAGGGTTCCCCCCAGGGCCCAATTCCCCAGTGTTGGGGAACGGGCCTCTGGGGTGGGGGTTTCCCCGCCCCCCGGGGTGACTTGGCAGCCCTAGTGACCACAGATGTGCTGCGACCTTCAACTGTTTAATACCCATGATATCACGAGAGTTCATGTGATACAACTGTCACATTCCATCCTCTGCAATTTTTTGGTATAAGTACTGTCATGATCTGGGCTGTGCCACCAGAGGCCTACTAGGCCCAGGAAGCCTGGCTTGCAGTAGGTGAGGCTAGGCCTACAACTCCCAGAAGCCCCTGGGAGGTTTTGGAGCCAAAATGGACCAATAGGAAAAGAGGAGGGCTTGGAATAAAAGTTCTGGAGCAGCAGGAAAAGCTGTTCTTTCTTCCAGAGGGCAGAGCTGGAAGGAAGGCTGCTGCAGGGGAGAGACCCTCATCCTGAGGGAAGGGTGAGTAGTCTAAGGCCACTTGAGATAGTGAGCTAGCGACAGATTATATTTAGACGCATTAGGGCATTTGATTTATTTTCTTTTCACCCACTTACTGTTATTATTCTGCACCTTGTTGCTTTGACCTCCTAGAAAATAAACCTTTTCCTTGTTTCACTTTGCCTGGTCCTCACGCCTATTATTTGGCCAAAACGGAGGTCTGAAGGTTTTGGAAGGGTACTCTGGGCCTTCTCAAGGGAACCTAAATCCAGAGTGGTGGCAGCATCAAGTGACACCCCACCTGAGTCATGACAAGTACAAACTTTGATTTTTTTTAATCTCCAAGAACCGCATCTTATTAAATCTGTGAGACAGTTAACGCCAGGGGTCATTTCCTGCAGGAGCGCACAGGAGCAGAGCTCTGGCAGTAAAGAGCCCAGGGGGCGGGCACATGCAACAACCCCCCCCGCTCCCAGCAGCCCTCAGTCAGAGCAAGAAGCACCCAGGTAAGTTGCAGAGCTCCCCCCCCCTGTCCCCTGGCCCAAAACAGTCCAGTGGCACCTTTAAGACCAAGTTTTATTCAGGTACAAGCTCTCCCTCCTCTGCGAGGACAGATCTACATGTCCCCCCCCCATAGCTAGCAATCCAAAACAGTCTAGTGGAGCCTGAGCAGTGGGTGTTGCCTTCTGACACACTTCTGATAATGACTTATGTTATGCTCCTGCATCTCTTTTTCTATGAAATGACCCCTGGTTAACGCTATCTTAAAAACCAGAATAGAAAATTTGAACAAAAGTGTGCTGATCTAGCTAGCTTTTTCACATTGTCATTTTGGCCACTCGTGTGTCCCTATAGCTTCAGGGTTCCCCCCCGCCAATGTGTTTTGTTCTTTCTAGTAGTCCCAGAGGGAGCAAAACACATGTGGAAAAGGGGGGGGGAACCCAAAGCAATAGGGACAAAAGAGTGACAAAAATGACAGTGCGGAAGAGCCAGACTCCAGGTTTTGAAAAGTGGTGTAAGTTGCAGACCCTGTAGGGTTTTCAAGACTGAGGAGGTTTGCCAGCACCTGCCTCTGCATAGCAACCCTGGACTTCTTCAGTGGTACTAAGTAGAGCCAACCCTGCTTAGCTTCCAAGAACAGTCTAGCCTGGACAATCCAGGATAGAGTGGGAAGTCCCTTACATAGCAGTACGTAGGCAAATGGTTCAATGGGACAATAGTAAGTTCTGATTAGAGTTGCCAGACCCTCCGGTGGAGGCATGGGTCTCCGGCTGTCAGGCCCCACCTCCCTGCCACCAATCAGCAGGCCATCGGAGGGAACTAACCCCCAAAAGAGGGAGATCCATCTGATGTGCTGCGATGTGTCTACATCCCTGCCCACGTGACCAAAAAGTGACATCATCACATCTGGAATGTCGGGAAGGTGCTCTGATACTTGGCAAAAACTCTATGGTAGAAGCCAAATTTACCATAGAGGTTTTGCCTAAATGCCAGAGTGTCACCCCGACGTCCTGGATGTGGTGATATTACTTCTGGGTCACATGAGCAGTGACATAGACACATTGCTGTATGTTGGTTGGGCCTCCCTGCTGTTCCCAGGAAGAAGAAGAAGAGGAGGAGGAGGAGATTTGATTTATCCCGCACCCTTCACTACCTGGAGGAGTCTCAGAGTGTCTCACAATCTCCTTTCACTTCCCCTCCCCATAACAGACACCCTGTGAGGTAGGTGGGGCTGAAGGAGCTCTTGACAGAAACTGCTCTTTTTCAAGAACAGCTGTGCCAGATCTATGGCTTGCCCAAGGTCATCCAGCCAGGTGCAAGTGGAGGAGTGGGGAATCAAACCCGGTTCTCCCAGATTAGAGTTTGCACACTTAATCACTACACCAAACTGGCTCTCCCTGGCAACCCTAGTTCTGATGCACTTATTAAAAACATCTCTTACTTACTTACGTTCTTCGGTCTTTGAAGTAATGAGACTTCAAAACTGTTCCAAGGGTTCCCCTGTTTTTATTTGCTGGCATTCTATAAACTGACAATTTCTAAGAGGGGTGCCATCACTCCGCTGCCACCACGGCCTCTGGGTCAGAATAACACTCTTCCACTTCCACTCCTACAGCGATATCACCATTACCCTTGGTTACTTATTTATTATGAGATATCCTGTGCAAACAAACAGAACAGAGATCTGAAAGACGGTGGAGGAGGCTCAAAAGACATTTGATTGCAATTTTTCTTTTTTACCATCAAGTGAGGTCTGACTTATGGCGACCCCCGTGGGGTTTTCAAGGCAAGAGAAGTTCGGAGGTGCTTTGCCATTGCCTGCCTCTGCGTAGCAACCCTGGACTTCCGTGGTGGTCTCCCATCCAAATACTAACCAGGGCTGACCCTGCTTAGCTTCCAAGATCTGTTAAGTTGGGGCTAGCCTCAGCCATCCAGGTCAGGGCCGTGCAATATTGATTGCAATAATTGCTATCAATGATTCACCAGAGTTAGTATATAAAACGAGTATTTGTGCTGTTCACTGCAGGTAGACGTCCGTGATCCGGCTGGATTATACCATCTGCATTTTAACTACTTCAGACACCTTCTGAGGGCCAGGGCATAAATTTCATGGATCCTACTATACTGCTGTTCCTGTTTGTCTTTACCATGGCTTTTCTTTGGATAAAGGGCAATTTCTGGGACACCAGCAGCCAAGATCTTCCCCCAGGTCCAAGGCCATGGCCCCTCATTGGGAATCTCCACCTTATGGATGTGAAGAAGCCTTATAGGACCATGTACGAGGTAAATGTTTTCACAGAATCATAGAGTTGGAAGGGACCTCCAGGGTCATCTAGTCCAACCCCCTGCACAAGGCAGGAAATCCACAAATACCTTCACCCTACCTCCGGTGACCCCTGTTCCAAGTCCAGAAGATGGCAAATATAACAACCATCCAAGATCCCTGGCCAAACTTGGCCTGGAGAAATTGCTTCCTGACCCCAAAGTGGTGATTGGACATGTAAAAAGAAGGAGGAGAGAGTTGGATTTATACCCCGCCCTTCACTCGGAGTCTCAGAGTGACTCCCCACAAAAGACACCCTGTGAGGTCGGTGAGGGAACTCTTTCGAGAACTGCTTCTGAGAGAACAACACTGAGAGAACTTGTGACTGACCCAAGGTAACACCAACAGCTGCATGCAGAGGAGTGGGGGATCAAACCTGGTTCTCCTTTTCCCTGTGGCACCTGTGATAACACTCTTTGGCTTCCACGTATGTTTGTTTATTAAAAAAGTTATGCCCTGCCTTTCCCAATGGTGGACCTCCTGATGGCACCTGGTATTTTTGGCCACCGTGTGACAGAGTGTTGGACTGGAGGGGCCTTTGGTCTGATCCAACATTGGCCTCTCTTATGAAGTTGTTTACAAATTCAAACTTTGAAAACCCCCACAAAATACGATGAAACCCCACATGACCGCCCCCCACGAAAATGCCTGCTGTCTGCGCTCCATTAAGAGCCCTAAAGTAAAGGTAAAGGTTCCCTTGCTCGAAAGCCAGTCGAATCCGACTCTAGGGTTGCGGTGCTCATCTCCGTTTCAAAGCCGAAGCGCCAGCGCTGTCCAAAGACGTTTCCGTGGTCATGTGGCCGGCATGACTAAACACCGAGGCGCACGGAACGCTGTTCCCTTCCCACCGAAGTGGTACCTATTTATCTACTTGCAATTTCTTGCTTTCGAACTGCTAGGTTGGCAGGAGCTGGAAACAGAGACGGGAGCTCACTCCGCCATGCAACACTCGGGTCTCGAACTGCTGAACTACCGACCTTCCACAACCTGCAGTTCAGCGTCTTAACCACTTGAGCCACCGCAGCCCCCCATTAAGAGCCCTAGCAAATAGAATAACTTTGTAGCAACTTCATGAGATGGTGCACCCCTCATCTCCTGCTCTTCAGCGAGCCCATCCCATAGTGTGGGAAACTGTAATAGGTTCTAAGTGACACCAGGCAGGCTTTCTTAAGCAGAGGAACAACTAGAAGGTAGGGACCTGAAGACTAGAACTGGAACACAGTCCTATGCAAAGAGGGAGTCCTTTGGATACATGGGCCCTAGGTGACAGTCATAAAGGGCTTCAGAGGTCAGAACCACTGCTACAGTAGGGGTTTCTTTTTGTAGGTCAGAGAGAAATTATGCCGCTTCTAGGGTTTCCAGGTCTCCACTGGCCACTGGTGGGGGATGAGTGAGTAGGGTTGCCAGATCCAGGTTGGGAAACTCCTGGAGATTTGGGGATGGAGCCTGGGGAGGACAGGGACCTCAGCGGGGTACAATGCCATAGCGTCCACCCTCCAAAGTAGACATTTTTTCCCCAAGCGGGAATGATCTCTGTAGTCTGGTGATGAGATGTGATTCTGGGAGGTCCCCAGGTCCCGCCTGGAGGCTGGCATCCCTATGAAGTTGCCCCCCCCCCAAGTGTGAAATGACAGATGTCTATGAGAAATTCTGGGTTTGGTTTTGCTAAACCTAATTTTTTTTTGACAATTTCATTGTTTCTATGTTAACTGACACCCAAAAAGGAGGCTCATGCGGAGAGGGCAAAGGCCACCTACCTGTCTGACACAGGCCAGTCAGATGTTTCTGGGAGGTCCATAAGCAGGAGATTATCTACAGTTTGGTGTCATGGTTGAGTGCGCGGACTCTAATCTGGGAGAACCGGGTTTGATTCCCCACTCCTCCACTTGCAGCTGTTGGATGACCTTGGGCAAGCCATAGTTCTGATAAGAGCTGTTCTTAAAAAAGAGCAGTTTCTGTCAGAGCTCTCTCAGCCCCACCTACCTCACAGGGTGTCTGTGGTGGGGAGGGGAAGGGAAAGGAGTTTGTAAGCCGCTCTGAGACTCTGTTGGGTAGTGAAGGGCGGGGTATAAATCCAATCTCTTCTCTTCTTCTAATCTGGGAGGACCGGGTTTGATTCCCCACTCGCACCTGGCTGGATGACCTTGGGCAAGCTGTAGCTCTGATAAGAGCTGTTCTTGAAAAAGAGCAGTTTCTGTCAGAGCTCTCTCAGCCCCACGTCCCTCACTGGGTGTCTGTGGTGGGGAGGGGAAGGGAAAGGAGTTTGTAAGCTGCTCTGAGACACCTTCAGGTAGTGAATGGCGGGGTATAAATCCAATCTCCTCCTCCTCCTCCTCCTCCTCCTCCTCCTCTTCTTCTTCTTCTTCTTCTTCTTCTTCTTCTTCTTCTTCTTCTTCTTCTTCTTCTTCTTCTTCTTCTTCTCCTCCTCCTCTTCCTGTTGCCAGCCCCTGTGCTGTTTGCCAGTTTCCAGGTACAGCCCAGAGTTATCTGGGAAATACCACTGATCTCCACACCACATGATACAACCCAGCTGGGCTTTTCATTGACTCTACCTAGGACTCCAGTTTGGCGTAGTGGTTAGGAGCACAGGCTCTAATCTGGGATATCTTGGTTTGCTTCTCCCTCTCCAACACATGCAGCTGCTGGTGTGACCTTGGGTCAGTCATAAATTCTTTCAGAGTTGTTCTCTCAAGGACAGTTCTCAAGAGAGCTCTCTCAGCCCCACCTACCTCACAGGGTGTCTGTTGTGTGGAGGGGAAGTGAAATGAGTTTGTAAGCTGCTCTGAGACTCCTTTGG